TGGGGGTTAACAAAAGAACGGCAAAACAGTCGAAGACCTCGTTCTATCTTCTCTTTTAGCTGATTAGTTATTTTTAGAGCCAGTATTTTGGACTCATGAAAATATTATATGGTGCACAAAGTTGATTCATAGGAGTAGTTTATTTTTGAGGCATTTCTGCTCTTGGAATTGTATGTACAGGTAGTAACCCGAATTCGTATAGCATACTTATTTTTTTTGGTGCAATGCGGAACTACTCATGTTGCAGTTACAATGGTAATGACAAAGACAACAGTTTGATAAACCTTTTCCGTCTTTCATGAATTTACAGTAAATGTTCTAATAACATCTCAGTGAAAACATTGTTAAATGCATACATATATCATTTACAGAATCATTTGTTTGCTGCTAGTAAAAAGGAAAGAAAAACTAATCACTTAATCCAATTCACATTTTAAAATACCAATTTTTAATTATGGGTATATTACAAAACAACTGATTTAAGTTTTAGAGAATTAATATTCCTCATTTGAATATGCTTTTATTTATTTACTATTTTTTTTAGTTGTTGGTTTAAATGAAAATATATTGATGCACTTGAACCGATGTTCAATCTATCTATCTTCGGTAGTGGTAAGGACATAAGGTGTGTGTATACTCTACCTTTCTCAGTCCTTATTTGAAGAGATTTTCCTGAGTATGTTATTATTGGTGGCTTAAATGAAAATATACTTTTGCCCATAAGTGTTTTTTTGGTATGAAGGGAAATATTTTTTTGGACACTTTATTCAATTAAATTCCTGTCAAAACTATGCAAAAAAATAAGATAGTCTATTCGGGTCGGGTCGGTTTGGTGATAGTATTTGGTGGGAGAAAATCAGAAAAAATGGCGGCGAAACAGAAAAGAAAGCAGAAGGAGAAAATACAGTAACGAAATGGGAGACGCAGAGCGGGAAGGAGGAGAGAAGAAGAAGAGCTTCGTGATAAAGATTCCTTCATATGAAGAAGTTATGGAGAGTTCTTCTCAGTCCAAAACGACGTCGTCGTCGTCATCTTCTTTCTTCAACCCTACCCCTTCTTTCTCTCAAGCATTCAAATTCGTCAAGAACTCCGAATTCTACTCACCGCCTCCGCCTCCACCCCCTAATCCTCAGCCTTCTTCCTCCTCCCAAGCTGATACACCCAGGTCTGTTTGATTTTTCACAATGTTTGTGACTTTGACTTTGTAGCATTTGAAATTCTGATTGGCTTATGAGTTTCTTTTTGATTATATAGACCGGTTAATAGTTCAGATGTTACTGTTTCATCATCATCGTCTACGCCCTCTTCTTCAGCTAATAGAAATGCTATACTTGTTAGCAATAGACAGGTGAAATTTTTGCTTTGCTTTTATTTTATCTAACAATGCATAGAATTTTGTGGACTAGCTCAAAATTGTCCATCTATTATAGTACTCCTATTATTTTGATGTGTAATTAGCCTCCACCTACACGGGAGCATGTAAATTTGCTTAGTGTAATTTGGTTCATATTGTTTTGCTAAGCTCAGTCTGCACCTATTATATTCTTTGTTTTAATTTGAAGTTAAGCTATCCACAATTAAAGAGAATGTACTAGCATCAATAGTGTGTCCTAGTCATAAGTTTCTATAAACTGGTTGTATGCCTTTTAGCACCTGAACCAAAAGACTAGTTGCACGCATTGGAAAATTTTCAGATATATCGAAGTGGCCTTCTTAGTTATCTGACCAAGCTATATGACAATGGACTACAACAACATACCATCCCATAAATGGGGGTCTGGGGAGAGTGGGGTGTACGCAAACCTTATACCTATCTTTGTGGGAGTAGAGGTGTTGTTATTGAAAGACTCTCGATTTACAGAAATAAAAAGCTATGATGAAAATAATGAAGAAAGAAAAGTACAAATTGTAAAGATATTTAACCGAAGTAAAGGAAGCATTAGTAGTAATAACGTTGAAAGATAAGAGAATGCTAGCATAGTAGTAATAGTACATATGAGAACAGATTGATGCTCCAGACTCTACCACTGTAAAGAGAAAAAACACATCTTCTGCCTACTAACTGTATACAATGGACTATGGATAGCAAATATATTTAACTGACTAGTACAAGCTAGAAACTGAACAAACAAGAGATTTCTTTGAACTTTAACTTTTCCTATAATGAGTGAACCCAAGTTGCCAAAGTTAGTGGTGCGACTCTGAAATGAAGATTTTGCATATGCATATTCGCAGCAAGCTATTTGTACATTTTGTCTATTTATTATGTTCTTTCTATTCGGATGCAGAAGGGAAATCCGTTGCTAAAACATATCAGGAATGTGAGGTGGACTTTTGCAGATATTGTTTGTGACTACTTATTGGGCCCGAACACTTGTGCTCTTTATTTGAGGTTTGAAGGGCTTCCAATTTCAGTTCATCTTGCACACAATCTATTGGAAGAATCATATAGTTTCTGACAATAGGTGCCTGTATTTGAATTCTTATAATGATTGCTTTCTTTTCTTACGAAGATTGGTTACTAAGCTTGACTTGGTAGATGATTTTGTAAAAATATACATTTGGTATATTTTTCCAATAGTGCATTTGTACTACTGCTTGACATTCTACCCTTCTTTATTTTTCCTTCCCTTTTCTGGTGTAGCCTCCGGTATCATCTGCTTCATCCAGACTACTTGTATTTTCGGATAAGGGAGTTGCAGAAGAACTTTAGACTCCGCATAATTTTGTGCCATGTTGATGTTGTAAGCCCTTCAATATTTTTTGACTTCTTCATATTTTCGTTTTGATGCTTGTACAATAACTTGACTCATGCTCATGGTTGTCTTTGGGTTCAGGAAGATGTTATCAAGCCTTTACTTCAAGTTACCAGAACTTCTCTCCTTCATGATTGCACTCTGTTGTGTGGATGGAGGTACCTCATATGTTCGGTTATATTAATTTCATAAAGTGGTATGCTTGCTTAGAAACATCTTGGAATTCCTCTGATGTTTCTGCTTTCTTCTATCATGACTCATCACTGCACATCATTATGCCCTGTCTTGTGTGGCTGTGCTGCAAAAAGATCAGTTGAGAAAAGACGACTCTTGTTATTGTTGTTTCTGTTGAACATCTTTGTAAGGCAGTTTTTGGCAAACACCTAAATTGCTTAAATTTTTTAGTTTGGAAGAATGCGGACGGTACTTGGAGACGGTAAAGGTTTATGAAAATAAGCCCGCCGACCTCATTCAGGGCCAAATGGATGGAGACTACCTATCACGGGTATGTGTGTCAGTTGATTACAGTTTGCAGTAAATTACTTTCTGATGCAGGATGACTCAAATTATGTTGAGGAACTGGTCTGAAAAGAAAATAGTCGAAGAATGGATCCCCCCCTTAAGCTCTCTGATATGAGCACACTGAAATGTGGTTTATTGTTTCATTGTAGCTGAATCATGCTCTGACGGCAATACGACATGTTAACAAAACAGATGTTGTGACTCTTGGGTCAACATTTGGGGTAAGAATGAAATTGCAGTGGAATGTTTAGAAACTATTTATTTTTTCAAGCCAATTCCTAAGATAGTGAGATTCTTTGCAGTCTCTTTCTCATGTGATGGATGCATCCATGGAAGACCTTGCTCGTTGCCCTGGCATAGGAGAGCGCAAGGTATCTTTCCGTGTGATCCATGTTCTCCAATTTGTTTGCTTCTTTGCCTTTCTTTTTTTTGTTTTCTGTGAGTTGGTTGTATGTTTTGTATGGTTTTGTTGGATTAATTTTTCGCTTGGGGTAATGAGAAGGTTATTTGTTTTGTTGCTGGTTGTCGTTTCAAATTATATTGAGGAAGCTCATGTTTTTCTAGCCATAGTCATCACTATGTCGTAAACACTACCAGTATTCGTGATGGCAAGTAAGGCAATTTTGTCTCATCTCACTGCCTCTCTGATTGCATGCTTTATGACTGGAAGCAGTCTTATAGAGGATTTGGAGAAGCAAAAAGTCAATAACAACTATGCCTCAATCCCAAGTTTGTCGGGTTGGCTATAAAAATCCTCACTATCCATTTTGCTCCATTTGAACCTATCTGTACCTTATTATAAATTGGATTCGCTACCACTAGAAGTTCTTAATATTTTCCATTGACATACCAATCTCTTACAAGAGAGAGAAAAAGTAAATGAGCTAGTTATTAAGATCCTTCAGAGTGCTTCAATGTTATTGCCAGTTACTTCTTTGTTCAGTTTGATTTACTCATCGAACTTGTGATGGATCAGGTAAAACGCTTGTATGACGCTTTTCATGAACCTTTCAAGCGAGAAGTGCCAAAACGCCAATGCATTCCAGAAACTTCTGTCGCTAATGAATCTCATCCTGGCTCCAGCAACACAAAGGAAGACGAGAAGGAAATTGTGGATACAAGCAACAGTGAGAAGAAAGAACCCGAAGTGACTGTCAAGTCAGCACTTTCGGCTGCTTTTGCTAAGTACTCACACAAAATTACAAGAAAGAAGAATAAATCACAAGAAGAGGAAGAAGGGAAGTGCAGTACTAACGAAGAAGCTAAAACAGGAGACACGAACGGCAGCAACAACTGCTGAATCTTGGTCTCTTCCTTTCATGCTAATGTTCCTAATTTTATATTTTCCCCATTTGTTTGATTTCTCTTAGTAAAATTCGTTATAAATTAACGGGAAAACTCATAGAAGATAAGTAGTGAACAAATATTCAGAAGATGTTTGGGCATGATTTAGTTGAGGTTTTTAAATAAAAGTAGTGTTTGAAAGTTGAAATTGTGTTTGAACATGAAAATATAATTGGAGCAGTGAAAATTTTACTCCCTCCATTCCCATTTACTTTGTCACATTTTACTTCACACGAGTCAATTTGAGTAATCTTTTGGAGCTCTATCGAATTAAATTAATGTAATATTTTAAATTTAGATATTCCAAAGCTATATATCATTAGTGCAACAATAGCAGGAAAATAGTATTGTAGCAGAAAGCTTGCAATTTGCTTAACCATGAAAGCATCACTGAAGACCTTTACACAGTTTTCATCCACCTATGGCTTCCGAGCTTATACAATCTCAGCTTCAGTCGATTTCCCAATGCGTGAAATCCCTGCCCAGAGCCACATGAATCGAAAGGTAGCCTGCGATAAACCAATCGATCAATTCTCGCTTATGAAATTGATTGATTCTTCCATCTCTTCAAATGAGTTTGCTCCTACTTCTCTTCTATTCCACGAGTTCTCTCGTTCCATTGATGTTAATTTTTGTAATACACTTATCAGACGCTATACGGATTCAAAAAATCACTCGCGTGCAGTTTTCGTTTACACCCAAATGCGTAAACTGAATATCCTTCCTGATTCCTCAACATTCCCCAGTGTTCTCAAGTCTGTTGCTCAGTTATGTTGTGGAGAAGTTGGAAAATCCATTCATTGTAATGCAATTCAATTGGGTTTCACTTCCGATGTTTATTCAAACACTGCTCTGGTCTACATGTATGGTATATGTGGACAACCCGATGATGCTCATCAACTGTTTGATGAAATTCCTGAGCGAAATGTAGTTACGTGGAATTCGTTGATCACGAGTTATACGCATAATAGGATGTTCAGAGAAGCAATTGATGTGTTCAGGGAGATGCTAGCTTCTGGGGTTAAACCAGGTGAGGTCACTATGGTTGGAGTTTTATCAGCTTGTTCTCATTTAGGAACTCTGAGTCAAGGGCGGTGGATCCATGATTATATTGTCAAGAATCGGTTGAGAGTGAATGTATATGTCGGTACTGCGTTAATTGATATGTATGCTAAATGTGGAGACATTGATGAGGCAAAAAAGGTTTTTGAAACTATGGGGTTAAAAAATATTTATACATGGAATGTATTGATTTCGGCATATGCCATGAATGGACAAGGGGAGGCTGCATTGCAGACTTTTGATAGGATGATTGTAGAAGACTTAAAGCCTGATCATGTTACTTTCCTCGGTGTTTTATGTGCTTGCTGTCACCAAGGTTTTGTGGAGGAAGGTAGAAGGCTGTTCTCAAGCATGATAAATCAGTTTGGATTGCAGCCAAAGATTGTGCATTATGGGTGTATGATTGATCTACTTGGACGTGGTGGGTTCTTGGATGAAGCTATGGAAATTATTCATTCTATGAAACTAAAACCAGATGCAATAATATGGAGGACACTACTTGGTGCATGCAGATTTCATGGAAGAGAAGAACTTGGTGAATTTGCTTTCTGTAAGCTTCTGGAACTGGAACCAACTAACGGGGAAAACTATGTGTTAATATCAAATGTTCACACTCAAAAAAAGAAATGGACTGAAGTTGGAGAAGTTAGGGAGTTGATGGACAGCGGCGGAATAAAAAAGATTCCTGGATGCAGTTCAATTGAAATTGAAAATGCAGTTTATGAGTTTAAGGCATCTGATCCACTTAAAACAGGGAATGAGGAAATACATAAGATGTTGCAAGACATGAAAAATCAGCTGAAATTAGCTGGTTATGTGCCTGAAACAGAGATAGCTCTGTATGATATTAATGAAGAGGAAAAGGAGCATAATCTGATATACCACAGTGAAAAGCTTGCTCTTGCATTTGGGCTGCTACACTCATCTGATCCTACATTAAGGATAATGAAGAATTTAAGGATTTGTCAGGACTGCCACCAATTCTTTAAGCTTGCTTCAGCAGTTTATAAAAGAAATATTGTTGTTAGAGATATAAAGCGCTTCCATCATTTCTCTGGAGGTCTTTGTTCATGCAAAGATTATTGGTGATACTTAGTATATATATAGGTGATGATATAGGTGATGTTATGTCGTCTGACACATTAGGGGAACTTACAGCACAGAGACCGGCAAATTTTCACTGAGGATGTCATGTCTCATTTGTATAATTAAAACTATCAGCTTTTGTTTTTGAGTTTCAGGAAAAAGTGATTTGAGAGGCCTCAGAATCTGCCATCGGACTTGGGTAGTTATTTCTTATTTTGATGTATGGATGACTTGGGATATTTTAGTGTTCCTTGGTATACCAGACAACCTAGCACGACATGGATAAAATCCAGATACAGTTTATGGTTTTTGATACTGCCGTGCAAAACCTTTTGAGGCGATTGTGAACTTCTATTCTGTTTGGGTAGTCATGTTGCCAATGTCTTTACAGTTTCTGGAGTTGGTTTGTTACTAGAAGCCTATCTTGTGAAAGTTTAAGTCCTTGATATTTGAGAAATATTCTAGGTTCCAAGGAGCTTTTTTCATTTTAGCTGTATGACTCTGCCAAAGGCCCTAAAGATTTCAGGAACTGCAGAATGTGTGCTTTGAAGGCTCTCAAGTGTCAGAGCCGACTTTTGTTTTTTTAGCTGTGCAAATCTGATGTCCTGACTGTTTGTCTTATCCATGATTCTAGGTAGTTATGGCATTATCTCAGTTAGAGGACTAATTTTCAAGTTTGTAGTACAGTTTCTTGAGCATATTAGCTGTTTTGTCAGGTGAGACACATTTTGGCATGCCTCATATGTGGATTGTGCACTCTCAGAACAATGCTAACAGAAGTTCACCTTCTAGACAACAATGATGTTGATGTAGAGTATCTAAATCTCTGCTGGAAAATGCGTACACCAAAGGTACATCACGTTCTACCCTAATTTTTATTCACATATTTATTGCTTCTTTTCATAAAATCTTCAGCTACAATTCTTGTATGACTGTTGAGGCAGAATATGTTATTGCCGTCACAAATACATTGCTTCTTGACCTCTTCTTGGGCTAGCTTTGGCAGCCTGGTTTTGTTAGTCCATAAATCTGTCTGTGCCTATTATCCCTGAAATAATTAGCATTCACGGTGCAAGTTTTTCACTTGAGGAGCTATTTAAGTGCAGGAACATCCTTTAGTTTCATGAAACTGTTGTACCGTGCCTCATTTTCATTTAATTAGGTGACAGTATTGAGGAATGAAATTACAATTGATGCTAATCAGAACATAAATGTGAGGTCTTATAAATGGATTTCACTTCACATATCATACAATAATTTTTAGAGAATAGCCTTCAGCTGTAATATTTAAATAAAAGAAAACAAAATTTCTTTCATGAATATCATCATTAAAGATGCTCCTTTGAAGCTGGAGTAAGGAATTGTCCACCTCATCACCCCGAAGAGTAGTGGCTCTGTTGTTTTGCACGCCTACAGAGAGAGACTCCAAAAGTAAAATGTCGAGCATTCAACCAGATACCTTTTTGACTTTTTGTATTTTCATAGGTAAGGATGAAGTCGAAAGTAATATATAGAAAGAAAAAAAAAATCCACTCTGATAGAAGCTAGTAAATACTAAATAGCTGGACAAATCTACTTCAGAAATAAATGAATTAAAATTGGTTGCACTCTATCTGTGTTTATGCTTTCAGATTCAAAAAGTCTCGGGACCAAGGTGAGCGAAGTGTGGACTTTGATAAGCTTCTTGTAGCATCTCACTGTCATCATATGAATCTCGATATGTATCCAAGTTTATATCTGCATTTCTTAGTACTGAAAGACAGAGTTCTTTCCTCCATTCTTCTAAATGTGGGAATCCTATGTAGTCTGCATACTTGTCACAGTACTGCCAAAGAAAATCAGTCAAACACAACATTTAGTAGGTTTTCCTAGTGCCGTGGCTTAAATGCTCAAGTCAACTTGTGACTATTGGTTTTTGAGCAACTTCGATAACTTTACCTCAAAATTAGCTAGATCATGGGTATTATGCTTTGGAATGCCATCAACTTCTCTTGAACGATAAAATTCCTTGATGGATTGCATCATCTCATCCCATGAGGGGAGTGTTCTTTTCCCAGAGAGCAGCTGGGCAATCCATTTTGCTTGTGACTCGAAGAAAGGAAACCCTATGAGCTACATTATAAAAAAGAGAAGATCTATTAACTAACACTCCATCTCTTAAACATGGATACTGATCTATTTATGGACAGTAATCCAAAATAATGATAGAAGCTGTTTTCCAAGAATATAATTAGGACTAAGCTATTTCTTAAATTTGAAATTAAGGCACAATTAATTATTGGAAGATTAATTGTAGTACAAATGTGTAGGGGTTAACAGTTGGGAAGTGGTTGTGGTGGGGTGGTAACTGGGAAATATCCCTTCATATTTAATTAGAGGTCGAAAGTTCAGGCCGGAGAATGGAATTGCCTTTGGCAAAGGGCATTTTACTCCAAAGTGGAACTTCCTGGCACGAAACCCGATTAGTCAGGTCCCATAGTGGGGCCAAGCACCGGGGAAACTAAAAAGAAAAAAGTCAGGAAGTGGTTACCTTTCTGGGTATGCCAACGAAGGAGAGAGAGGGAGCAAGAGAAGGAGGGAAGGTGTGCTCATAAAGTGGGCCCACTCTATCATCATCAACTATTACCATTCCTTTGGTGTCAAGAAATGGAAAGGAGTAGGAGTACCTGTACAATGCAAAAAAAAAAAAAAACAATTGGATTTGTCATTATTTGTTGCTGTAACAAGATTGTTTTCACTTTAAGACAAAACCATGTCTAAGAACTTCATAGTTCTGTCTCACTACTTCTGATGAATCAAAGTATAAAAGTCAAATTATTTTTAAAATTTTTACTACACTTCAAAAATTCTTTATATATATATAAATATATGTTTAAGCTACATAAGACAAAATGAGTATTAGAATGTCTAGTAGATGGATGAAGTCCCCAGGCTGGTTAGAACATCACATGGGTTTTATCTTCAGTCTCTGCTTTTAAGTTTTCTTTTTTACTAGCAAAGGCAAGTGCATGGGAATAGAGCATTTTACCCTGTACAGTATATGACAGTGTCTGCAACGATTGAAGTACCATCTACGAACAATACCCTCCCATCTTCATGTAATGAATCTATCTGCATTTTCATTCTAGATTAGTTATATTATCGAATATGAAAAATGGGGTTTTCATGTTTCAGTTAACTGCATCGTCAATTTTTTTAATTTAACAAACCTGAGGATGAAGATGTAAATTTTGGTGCTTGGATATAACTTTTGACAATCCTTCAGAAACATCAAGAGATTTGGCACTGAGATGGATCTCCTTTGCCACATCTACAAGCTCCATTCCTATATCTTGACCACTTAGTGAGTTTCCAACCACCACAACTACCTGCTAAGTTAAAAATATTTAGCAAGTTGTACGGATAAGAGTTGAAGTTTGTTTCAAAACGAAGTTAACACTTCTTTAAGAGAAAACTTAGATGATATGGTCATGTGGTCCACTGTTGGCAATTCTGGAATTTTGTTTTATTTTTTTATTGGATTATATGACATGCACTGGAGTTCGAATTATGACATCATGAGATGTTTTTTTTTTGATAAGACAAGTGGTATTAACAACAGCATCAAGAAGATGCAAAATTTACAAGATATGGCATTTGAGCTTACAAAAAAATCTCTGGCTAACTATACAAACTATCTAAGCTAGAGCTAATGAGTTAGTAAAATCATGAAGTTGTGACATCATGAGATGTTATAGCTTATAAATCAATTATGTTTCTGGATCTTGCAACACACTTATTATTTGAAATAGAAAAAGTAAAAAAGACATCCTGTTGATTATCATTCATTGTGATTGTTGAGTAAAAAAGATCTTGCCCAAGGTAGGGGTAAGGTCTGCGTACACGCTACCCTCCCCAAACCCCACTTATGGGATTACACTGGGTATACTGTTGTTGTCTGTGATTGTAGAGATTTTTGCATTACCTCATTCCGAAAGGGTTCTGGAACCCTGTAAATGTGGCTATGGATCTGCTTTCTTCTCCATGCATCCATTCCTTATCAAACAAAACAGATAAAAAGCTTTTAGTGTCATTCTTATACTATTGGATAAAAAGAACAGAAGTAAATTACAAACTCTGCATTATGTTCTTTATGCAAGTATATAATACATGCCGTAATTAACTTTGATAAAAAGATCTTATGATTTTCTTATTTAACTGTACCTTGACATGACCTGACTATGAAGGAATTGATTTGATTGATAATGTTAGTTATAACTCTGGGATCTTTTTATTACACTACCAATGTAATTTAATCAACTCAGTAGATTAATATTTTACTTTCCAGCTTGCAATATTAAGCTTGTTATGATGATCAGTTACCTGTTGTTTTAGATCAACTTAATCTGATGATATTCATTATCATTCTATCAATGTACAAAACTTAAACTCGAAAGATATGGAGATTTTGACAAACCTTTAATGTTGGGCAACCTTGGTTGAGAGTAATGACCAGTTGCAACAACCACAGCATCAAAGACTTCCTCCACCCGTTCCTCCGCTTCCTTCTCTTTGCTCTTCACAATCCATCTCAAGTCCTTACCAAATTCAGGATAATCCAGCATCCCTACATACTCAACCGTAGTATTGAATCTTATCATCTCCCTTAGCCCAAAATATTCACAAAAATCTTGTAAATACAAGAGAAGCTCCTTATGGCCAGGAAATCTCCTTGGATCCCTCCCTTTCTTCACCACAAAAGGAAAATCAGTAAACCCCATGATCTCTCTTGGTGAAGTGAGCCTTAATGATGCATAAATACTGCTATGTACCTTTAGGACATTACTACTTCCTAAAGGATCTTCATGTTCAACTTTAGGTTGATATAGCCATTGCCCTCCCACCTCATGGTTTTGTTCAAAAACCACCACATTGTGCCCTTCCTTCCTCAGCTCCCTAGCTGCCACCAACCCCGATGGTCCGGCACCAATTATGCACACATTCTTGGACAAATTTCTCTCAGAAACCATGGTTAATATGAGGAAAATCTCCGTTGTGTTTTATGTTGTTGGAAGTTTGAAACGATTAGTGGGGAAGGGAGGGGGGGGGGGGGGGGATGCTGGGAATGAGAAAAAATGAGACTGATTAGCTATTATATATACTACTCCTATCTTATCATAGAGAGTTTGCTTGGAAGGAGACATGTGACTATATTATACTACTAATAATACTTATTAATTTGGTTGGCGTATGTCTCCATGAAATTCCCATTTTGGAAAGAGAACTCTTGTCGCTCAGAATAATTAACCCTTTTCGTTTGATTTTTTTACATGGTTAAATGCCTACCCTATCCAGTGTTTACACCATACCGAACAAATTAACCTAAATCACATCTTGAAACTTAGAATAGATAGCACTTAACAACTATGGTTTGAGTGATAACTATGTATATGAGAGATACATGTCTTGCATTCATTGCTTTGATCTGAAGTCCGATGCGGTGCGGATAAATATTTACTTCTTTTAAGTCTTCTTTAATTCTGAGCGATTAGTTCTACAAGTCTTCTACTTTAATTAAAAGAAAGAATTGTTTCGACATAATGTATGTCAGGGGAACTTAGCTTTAAGCAGAAGGCTCTCTTTGGATAACTTTCATCCAAAGATGCACAAAGCTACCAAAATAATTGGCCACTTGTCTTAGCTGTCTTTTATGATTTCTACTAATAATCATCAGAGGCGAACCCAAAATTTGAAAACACTGGATAGTGGAATCGAACCATGATCTCATGGGTGATCATGCCTGCTTGTACCAGCGGTATCAACCGCCTTTTATGTTTTTCATGAGGGCACTGTTAATTATGTTTAGTTTCTTTCAGTTTTTCAAAATAAATAAATATATATATACATGATTTTTTCTGAAGTTAACGATTGCACGTGCATCACCTATACATATGGGTTCGCCTCTGTCTACTATATTACTGTTATTAATATGACGTGCATGGGGTGCGACCCACTTCTTTTGTTTAGTAAGTGATTTGATTTGGTGGTACAGTTTAACATTCCTTAGAGTCCTTCTAAATTACACTATTAAGTTAGAGTAGTTGTTAACTAACACATCCACATATAATACTATTATAAATTATCAATGGTGTATTTGAGACGTTTTCAATGAGTATAGTACATCATAATAATAATATGTAGTACTAATTATTTCCTAGAACCCCTCGAGACATGGGATATATAGCTCTACTGTGCCAGCTGCTACTATGGTCGTTTTGTTGGTTAGAATTATACAAATATTAAAACTTGAACTGTTTTGTGAGAAGTTTGTTGGTTTAATCGTTGGTTTAGTCAGAAGTTTTACCAAGAAAATTCAAAATATTGAATACGTGCATGATTTAATTAAGAGAATTTAACATTTACTATTATATGTTAAATAGATTGTTTTTATTGTCATCGTATCAACTTATTACTTTCATATTTAAACCTCTCAATTATATTTAATTTTAAAAAGTCTCTATAATAAGATCACGAGAGAGAGAGAGAGAGAGAGAGAGAAAGTGTGTGTGTGTGATGCTTGACTTGAAATCTTGGACAAATAGATTGAAGTATACATTTAAAAGGACAAATTGATTAATTTATGCTTAACTTGGTTACACTAATAAACTTCTTAAGTATAATTACCTACGTGTAGGCCAGACTATATTTTAAGGCACTCAATTATCAGCTGTATTTGACTTGCTCACTAATTTTTTGACCCCCCCCCCCCCCCCCACACACACATCATGGAAAGATTTTAAAATTAACTTTGCATGTTAGGGAGTGGTTGATTTTAGAAATAATAAACTATTACTTGAGCATATAAACATGAGAGTTAGATGCTAAACATAATTAGGCTATCATTGTTACTATATATAGGATCAAAGAAGAGAAGAATGATGGTTAATGCCAGTCTTTTTGGGTCAGCATTTTGATTTCCCCTTTCTTGAAGCCAAGGGAACATATATAATCATGAGATTATGTTACCCATTCACCATGCACGTTTATGGGAGTACTCATGAATTTGGTTTGTTATTCGTTTTGGGGCGTAATTAATTTAAATTTATGTTGTGTATAGCCTCTTATTTGACATTTTTTTATTCTTTTATCAGAACTCAAATCGAGATTTCTAATTAAGAGTGAGAATTATATTCGATAATCTTTAATTAATTTATAGCTAGTGATAGTTCTTTTTGAGGTGCAATACAAGTATAAATGTATAATAGGAAAAGCATTGCTCATGGTTTACACTTAAATAAGTAGTGCTACTACTTGTAAATTATGAGTCGCTTGAAAACTTTGGAGACAAACACCATTGGTCGAAATGATGTGGAAAAAGGCATTTATAGATGGTACCTTTTTTTAATATAATTTCAACACCAACTTTATTTCATAAGGACCGCCTCATTGTTGAAACTTAAAAAGCAAGGTTTCAAAAAAGAAAAAAGATGAAACGTCAAAAAAAGTTTTAAGTTTTCTCATGCAAATATGTAATTATTAAAGTCTCGAGCCTTGGAATTTAGTTTCTTTTATACTGTAGATGATACTTGGTACAATTATAAAAGTTTTAGAAATTTTTCTTCATGGACCCATAATAAAAGTAGTCTGCACAAATTTTGTATATCTTTTCTTTCTTTTTTGTGACGTGGGATGTTAAAGTTGATTTTCTTTTATTTTTTAACTTCTCCTTTTTTTATGTGATGGGGATGTTGTTATTCTAGTTTTATTTTTTGCTCTTTTGATTAGTTATTCATACATTTAGATCGAGTAACTGATTTTTTTTTTTTACAAAAAACCCCTCCTTGGGGGCGTTTCATTTTGCTTTCTTCTTGACTCGAATTCACAATCTCAAAATTGAAGGTAGATGGGTGTCTATCTGTTGAGCAACCCTTTCTTGTCGATCAAGCAACTGATTATTTTTTAAAAATCTTCATAGGTGCATTTCATTTTACTCTCTTCGTGACTCGAATTTACAACCTTAAAGTTGGAGGATGGAGCGTGCTTATTACTTGAGCAACCCTCTCTTGCCATTGTTGACCAAGCAAATTAATTACTCAATTTTCAAATATATCTACTTTTAAGGACTGCTATTTAAAATATAGCCAGCATTTGCAAAACTCCAATTCAAAGAGTGGGACTAAGATACATTTGCAAAATAAGCCAATTTTTTTTCCACCTAAACTCAGCCTTACTGCCCATATAAATTTGCAAAATGATGATTGATGATGAATTATTTTTAACAAAATAGCTGATTCAAACACTCCGAAATATACATTTATCTGAAATTAATGACTAATGTCATCTCTCAAGCAACAGTTTATTGCACACACACTTCAAATTATGCTGCTCGAATTCTTCAAAATTAAAATAATGCATCCAATATGGTTACGTCAATACTTTAACGTAGAAGGATCTATTTAGTGATGAATTATTTTATGTGCGAAAAATATGTTTGGAGTCAACTCTTTAGGACCAATCGCAACCTATAATCCTAATAATCGTGATTTTTTTTAGTATCAAAGCTTATCTATATGATGACTATATCTCATGCATTAATCACGCTTATTCTTACAAAAAAAAAAAATTATCTATGAATTTTAAAAATCCCCTCTATCTATCGTATTGTTTTTTCTCTCCTCTTTTTTTCGTCTATCATTTTGTTTTCTTTCTTTGCAATTTTTGAAATTCTGCTCCCTCAAAAAATTACCAACTAATTGTTAAGAGTCCCTCTTTGGTTTTTCATTCCCAATTTATCAAGAAATAGGTATAATTTTCCACCAGTTTTTTTTTTCTGGGGTGTTAAATGGTTCTTGATTGCGTTCCTCAAAGATCAATCTCAAATTGAAGATGAAAATAATCCATGTTAATGAAATATTCAATTCCTTTTGCCTGAATTTAGGTTTTTGTTTTGCTTCTTGATGTAATTTTTGAATTAATAATACAATCTAATTTTACAGGCTCAGGACGAACACAATGTACCTTTTAAATTTAAATTCACTTTAAATAACAATTTTCACTTTCCTTTATGCTGAATTTGTTGCAGAATAATGGAGATGATAATTCGAATGTATGATTTAGGAAGTAAACATATTAATAATTTTTTTTACCAAAGGATATTATGGGTTGTTTTATTTATTGAAACGAAATGACATTTCCTTTTTTCATAAATTGGTGTTTCATACGTTTATATGTCACAACTCATTTATGTTACTAAATTGTTGCCAAATGTATATGTGCCAGATCTATACGTCTTTATAATCATATACAATATGTTAGTTATATCTTGATAAAAGTTCTCTAATTTGGATGCATTAATTTTTTAGGTAATTAGAATAACAGTGCATTTTCAGGAATATTCAGATGGAGGCAAAAGTGCAAACTGCAGAATAGGTACTTTCTTTTCATCCTTTTTACATTGTTCTTTGTTGCCTGTAAATGCACAATAGCATATATCCTTCGAATCACTCTGATAACGGTAGGGGTTTATATATTAACACCTATGTTTCTCAGACTCTCCCAAAAATGTTGTTGAACCCATGTCGGATCCTTCAAAACTGTCCTACCTTTGGAAGATTCGACAGGCACATGTCAAGTTTTTGAAGAGTCTTGACCAACATAGATATTAACTATGTCGAACAAAATGGTTTATGTTTAATCATACAATAAGAGGATGGAAAACCATGAATGCCACCACTTGCTTTTTTATCAGTATCAATTTTCTCACAGGTCCTTGGCTTTTTTTTTCCACACTAGGATGCTGCATTTGTGAGGTCGAGGTTTCAAAGGGTCTCTGCTTTTGATCAGTTTTTCTTGGTAAGTGCTCGAATTTAACAATTGTGAAAACATAAAAGGAAACAAGCAATGTGAGATTCTATACTAAACCTCTCTGTATCTCATGATATATCTGCAGTGGTACTAGTTTCATTGCTCTAACTCAAAATGGCTGAGATGGTTGTTGGCATACCTGCACATCTGGAGAGAATTGAGCGTGATGCTCGCTTTTTGAGAAGGAACTCAACTGGCAGTTTTGGCTTTCAAATTGCTAAATCCAAGGTCTTGTCACGTTACCTGAGCGATCCAAAAGGTTCGTGCCATGACGCTTGCAAAGGTGCTGAACGTGATGATCAAACAATAGCAAGGACTTCCCTGTTGAGTAGAACAGTAGCAGCATCAGAAAAAATACCAGAACTGGCTACAACTGTACAGGTGCAGATACGGAAGAAACCACTACACTCGAGTAAGCTACCTATGAATTTCAAGAGGCGTACAACTGGTAAATCCCAGAGACAGGAGATCCCAGCATACACCAAAAGATTAGCTGTTTCTGTAAAACAACGGAACGGTTTGAAGATGAAGTTGTTGCAAGAAAATGCTAATTCTATGTCCGGAATCTATAAGCTGAGGATAAGAGGATACAGTGACACTATCATACCAGGGGGATCATCAATTGCTCAGGATTCTCCGTTGGATGGTGCAACCGGCACACCAAACAAAGGAAGCAGGATGGACAAGAACACTGGGTCTTCTAAGTTGGGCAACAAGAAGGCTGTCGGAAAACCTGCAAACTTGGAGAAAATTGAGCATGAACTCAGTTATTTGAGAAGGAACTCAACTGGCAATTTAGGTATTGAAATGGGTGACTCCAAGGTCTTGCCACGTCATGTGAGTGTTCCAACAGGTTCTTCTGGCGCTAACAAAGATGGTGCGGAACTCAACTGTAAAACAAAGGCGAGGACTCACATGTCCAAAACATCTGTAACTTCATCAGGAGAAAATTCAAAATTGGCTACAACTGTGAAGTGGCAGATACGGAAGAAACCACTACACTCAACTAAACTACCTGCAAATGTCAGAAGGCTGAAAACTTCTCATGGAAAGGAAATGCAAGCATGCACCAAAAGATTAGCCGTTTCTGCAAGGCATCGAAGTGATTTGAAGCTGAAGCCTCTTGGAGAAAATGATTATTCTGTGTCAAGAAGCAACAAACTAAGCAGAAGAAGATACAGTGACAGTCTTATGACAGGGGTTTCGCTAACACTTAAGGGGTCTATATTGGATGATGCAACCACCAAAACAAACACAGGAAGCAGGATGGATAAAGACACTGCATCTTATGAGTTGAGCAAGAAAACGGATGTTGGCATGCCAGTGAACCTGGACAAAATTGAGTCCGGAGTCGGCTATTTGAGAAGGAACTCAACTGGAAGCTCAGGTATTGAAATAGGTGAATCCAAGGTCTTGTCATGTTCTCCGAGTGTTCCAACAGGTTCTCGCCAAGAAGTTCGCAAATACACAATTGCAAGTGATCTTAAAAAGAAGGTGAGGACTCTCCAGCGCACAAGACCTGTAGCAGCATCAGGAGAAATCCCAGAAATGGCTAGAACTGTGAAGTTGCAGATAGGGAAGAAACCATTAAGCTCAACCAAGCTCCCAAATTTCAAGAGCCAGACAACTTTTCAAACCCAGGGAAAGAAAATCCCAGCATCCACCAAAATAGCTGTCGAAAAAGGATCCTCCGGGTTGAGCAAGAAGAAGGATGCCATAACTATTTCCCACTCTACAAGAATTTCTGTGAAGAGGGTATCAGGCAAAAAGTTAAATAACAATTCCCCCGGAATGGTATCTCAACGCAATAAGCAGATTAGTCTTCCTGGTAAAACAGGCAAAGTGATTCGTAAAGATGATCCAAACAAGGTATCTCATATGAATAATTTGACTAGCCTTGCACGAACGAAGAAAGTGCAACCAAATCATCAAAGCTTTCCAAACAAAGCATCTCAACTTAGAAAATCGGCTAGTCTTAAACGAGGCAAGATGGAGCTAGGAAATAACAGGAGTGTTCCAAAGGGGACATTGTACATCAGAGAATCAAAGACAAAAATCCAGACCATACAGATCTCTCTGGAAAATCGGAAGAAAGTCTCGCCTTTAGATAGGCATGGCCCAATAAGAGGAAAGAAACCGTCACCCCATCTCTCCCCATCATCTTCTCTACATTCTGATGGCAGTAGCTCCAGAAAACATGGCAACAGGAAAGCCTCCCTATCATCAACTTCCACATGCGAGTCTGTTAATGGTGATGCAATATTCAGCAGTTCCAAGAAAAGTGGAACCACAAGCCCAAACCAAGATATAAAAGCTGGAAGGGCTGCAATTTGCAGTCCTAAAAATCTCATGTTCAGGAGAGGAAAAATAATTGATTATCAGTCTGAGAAACTCAGCCCAAGGAGACTAAAATTCAGGCCGCCCAAAATACTAGAGAACAACGGGAATGGAAGTGATCTTGTTAGAGGAAGAAGCTCTAGGAGATTTATTGCTTATGGAAAGTCAAATGCTGCTAAAGATGAAACTATGAGAGTTAATCTTCGACACCAATCTAGACGAGACAAAAAAGAGGCTCCAATCTTGTTCAACAATGTGATCGAAGAGACTGCAACCAAGCTTGAGGAGACCAGGAGAAGCAAGGTCCAGGCTTTGGTGGGTGCTTTTGAAACTGTAATCTCCCTTCAGGATCCAACATCCACACCGCCAATTATTTCCAGATGATAACTATCTGCTTTGACAGAAAGAATCTGTAAATATATTAATAGATAAATTGAGTTACATAACTGAAGCAGTAGGTGCAGGATTTCAAGCACTACTCTTTCTGAATATATATATATATATATATACTTCCTAACTGATTCTATATACTCCGTAAATGTCATTGTACGAGTGTAGTAGTGTAGTTGTAAGTTATTTTTGTAATGTGACATAACATTTTACACTTCTGCACATTAATCATACTTGTGTATTCTGTCTTAAGACAATTGATCATAATTAAAACATCAATGTTTGTCCTCTGTTGTTGCAGTTTACAAGATAACACTCATCTAAAAACAGAATTTTATAGATATTACTTATATCGCGGTAGATAGTATCAGTACTGTTTTCTTACTGTTTAAACATCCTCCTAGAGTTGAACAATCAAGGAACATGAACTAGATTTTTCACTACATGATTGCTTGATATCTCTAATGTATTATCCACAAACAAGGGAATGGCAACTGAGTTGTATCCAGATGAGCATAACTACATAACATATAGGAGGCGCTTCACATAACCAAAACAAACAAGAACTAAAATAAGATGACAGAGAAACATGTTTTCCAGCAGAGACTAATAGGAAGAAATTGGTAAACGTAATTCTGATTGATTTGGATGCAAAATATCAGTTCGACCAAAGCATAGAATTAGCTAAAGCTTAATTATCCGAGATTATTTTCCATCCCGTGTCCGGTACAGCAAACTCGTACTTTTCCATATGCAGGGGCTCAAGCCCAATACCTCTGCGGAAGGAAGGAGCTGTCTCATCCACTGCAGCAAATGGAGATTTGATTTCCTCTACCATTAGAGTTTTTGTTGTATAGAAAAAACTAGAATCAAGTATTCAGGAGACCACATCAAATTCTCCAAATTTCAGCAACAATTAATTACTATCAAACTTACTTGATCAACAAAAGTAAAAATACTCACAAAAATTATCAAATTTCAGATCTACCTCTTTCAGGACTTCCTCAGTTTCACTGCGCGCTCTTTCTACCATTCCCAAAACTTAGGTGATTTCTAAAGAGATGAAGGTTTTCAGGGAGGAAGAAGACGAACATTTTTTACACGAGAGGGTCCCCGCGTCTGCAACGGAGGAGTAATTGTCTCAAACAATTACTTAAAATTTACATAATTAACTGACTAAGCAATAAGATTCTTTGAACACGTGATCTCGGGGTTAAAAACTTGAAAGAAAATTAGTCCGATATTTGGAGAAAATGGTCTTAATGTATGGGCGTTAAAATATTTTAGGTATTTTAATTATGAATTTGTAAAGTAAACTACATGTTATGATTACACACAAATATATATATAACTTAAATTTAATTTAGCATTAGGTCAGATGTTTAGGTGATAGTAATTCATAAGATCACCCAACTATAAAATAATTACTCTAGTATCTAATCAAATAAGGTCACCAAAATTTACATATATCTTTTTAAAAGTCACCTGATTAATATTTTGACAACATAATATAGCATAACATTTTATTTAGTTCATATGGACTTTTTTTCCCTCAGTTCACATGGCAATAAATGGGGTGTGCATTCTGTATTTGATTCGGGATTCTCAAATTTCAGGTTTGATAATTTGGTAATTGGTAGTTAAAAATAGATATCAAATATCAAATTTTTAAATTTTGATTTGATAATTCGGTAATCGATAAATTAATCTTCGATTTTGTATGGTATTCGGTAATGCCATATTGAAGTTGTAGCTGATTGTATTACAAAGTTAATACTATTTTTCCAATTATTTATATTATATTCTTTAATGTGGATGCACGATATAATAGAAGATCAACAAGTAAAAAGACATCAAGAAAAACAAATTGATACAACTAAAAGACATGTATTTGGTATTTGTGTTTATTCTTTAACTTTCTCTTTGGACTTGTACTAACGAGTAATAGACATGTTGATATATGACCTACATTAAGTAATTAATTCGGTAATTGAAAAATACTAAATACCAAATGGCACTAATGTTTCATACCAAATCAAAATCCAAATATCATAATTTTAAGATTTTACTCTCAAATACCGAATTACCAAATACCAAAAAATTTAATTCGATTCAATAATTTGATTTTTTGATATTTTATGCTCAGCCCTAGCAATAAAGCATAACATGGCCTAACACTAATTCATAATTCAAATTAACCCTATTCACTTGGACCTGGCCCAGCCCCATTGATCCTCCAATATATAGAGATATTGGATCACTAAATTCATAAAATGTTTTTCTTTATGAAAAAGTTTTTTCAATTTTTTTTTAATCTTTAGTAAGTAAATAAAAAAAAATATTACAAAAACATTTTTATTAATACGTAGAAAAATGCCAAGATGGTGATTGGTGAGGGTGGAGCTAAGAGGGGGTCGGGGTAGAGGAGGTGACATTTTTATTCGCATTATTCGCATTTGGAAAGTTATTCTTCTGATTTTTAATGAATTGTTTTTTCTTAAGAAACTACTTTTCTCAAATACATTGAGTAACCCAGCATGAATAAATTGAAAAATAATTTTCTTTATACATAATGTACACATTTTCACCTTAAATTTAGAAAAAGATTGTTTTAATTTTAAGATTTAGACTCGTAACCTTTTAATTACACAGTGATAACTTTTACTACTTTCTCTGTTCACTTTTATTTATCATGTTGCGTTTTTTCGAAAGTCAATTTGACTTATTTTCAAAGTTAAATTAGATTACATTATTCAAAACTATACGAAAAGTACTATAAATTACATTTTTTTGCATATCAATTTGATAAAAAATATATCGTAAAATGTTAGTCAAAGTTCTTATCGTTTGACTCTTAAAAAGAGAAATCATGACAATTAAAAGTGAACGAAGATATTACTAATTAGCCATAAATAGAAATTGGAAAGTCAGTGAGGTGGGGTTGAGTATGGCCTTATGGGTTAGGATTGAGTCATGCCAAATCGTGGTTTACTGTCACGTGAGCTAAGAAAAGAAAAGATCTACTTAAACTAAATAAATTATGACATTTTTTAAATTTTTTGAAAATTCCAGGGAAATCCACAATCTTTTTCTCTTCGAATGCACTCTCTAGTGAGCAATTTGTAGTACCCTGCTCACTTTGCAATAGCACATAAACTACAGAAAATGTGTTATGTCATATTTTGTTGGTAAAATATTAATAAGATGACTTTTTGAAGAGATGTAGATAAAATTGAATAATCTTCTTATATTAAAAAATAAAATAAAATGACTTTATTGTATAATAACCCATAGAGAAAAAACATGGCATGAAGCCTTTTAGAAAAAAAAATCTAAAAATTTTAAAGAGATGAGTCGTGCAATTATTTCTGGTATGGAATGTTAATTAAAACATTATAGAGAAGGACATAGTCGCTCTCAATAAGGATAGAATTTTCCTTTCAAAATACAATTCAATCATTTGTATTAATTAATAATATAATTAGGTCCAGTCTGTTGACAAAGATGCGAATGGTCCAAATTTAACAGTGGCCTCAACTTCAACTTCATCATCATTTATTATTTATTTTTTATGATCGTGGTGTCCGTATTAGTTTTTGTGGACCTCAATTAATTAGTTCTCTCTTGAGTAATAATGTCAACATATCCTATCTGTGACAAGACCCACAAGGGGCTAGGTGGTCCAGGTAGGAGTCATGATCAAGCATGACCCTTGCTTGGTGGACTTCGTTAAGAAATAAAGTTGTGTATTTGCTATCGGCTATAACTTTTGGCATAATAATAAGGGTTTGATCCTAACAAGTGGTATCAGAGTCAAGGTCGTGAGTTCGATTCCCAAGAGCAATATTCAACATGAGGTTGGTGTTGGGAGAGGGATGTTGACAATCCTGCCTATGACTAGGTCCACGAGGAGTTGGATGGCCCGGATCATAATCATGATCGAACATGACGCTTGCTTAATGAATTTAGTTAAAAACTTTGTGTTTTTGCTATCGTTCACGTAACAACCCTCGAGTTTAATTTATCACCATTTGTCACTTCTAGATAGTCGTATCAAGTCATCATGACAAGGTGGCTTCTTGTACGTAGAACCCACAAAAAATCTTTGTAATTAAAATTAGGATCAATACCACTGGTCCTCTTTTTTATTATTTCTTTTCTTGGTCTTTTTACATATTATACTATTAGTGTTGAAAAAAAAATATTCCGCCGATAATATAGGGAAAAAGGACAAATATACCCCGAACTATATATTGTAAATGATATGCATATATCATTTGTCATACTTTTAGAATATTGATACTTCTGCCGTCCAAAAACTATGCCCTTTACTCTAACTGAAGACTAAATAGGGACAAGTGGCGCGCGCAATCTTATCCGTCGATCCAATATTTAATAAATGTCGGATCAATGGATAAGATTATGACACGTGTATGTCCGTTAGTATAAAGGGTATATATGTTCTAATTTTTGGACGGTAGGAACACCAATGTCCCAAAAGTATGACGGAGGGTATATGCATACCATTTACGATAGTTCGAAAATATATTTATCCTTTTTCCCGATAATATATATAGGTTAAGGTTAGGGTTTACAGAAAATATGGCATCTCCTTGAGGATATCTAAACTGTGAGCAAAGCAAATTTATCATTTCGTTTCAACATCGATGATACGAGTCGTGTTTACTGGGAATCTTATTCTACTATGAAAAACTCCATAAATCTTTTATATTACTCCTTTTGTCCCATTTTATGTGAGGTAGTTTACTCGACACGGAGTTTAAGAAAGAAAGGAAGACTTCTAAAACTTGTTGTCCAGGATGAATGATAGAAATTTGTGTGGCTGTAAATCATTTCATTAGGAATAAAATAAACATTTTATAGTTAAATTGTTACTTAATATAAAAATGTGTCATTCTTTTTTAAACTGACTAAAAAATAAAGTAAGTCACATAAATAAGGATAGAGGGAGTAGTATTTTACGATTCAATACTACAGTGGAAAACTGAAAAAAATAATCTTTCATATGGTTTGATTTCGACCTATCTTAATTACCCTGACATAATTCAAAAGTCGCAGATCTCGTTCTCAAAATTAAAAAAC